CCAAACCACTGAGCAGAGCCGGGGAGCCCGGCGCGTACCAACGGCGTCCGCGAGGGGGCGTGGTCGGAGCGTACCAACCGGGCGAAGGGGGCGTGTGAGGGAGGGATAGAGAGGCGAAAACACCACGGGCCACTCCTCCGCGGGGGAGGAGCTACGAGGTCGTGCGACCCAGAAACAACTTCGGCGGGCGTGGTGAGGGCGAAAGACCATACCAAAGCGGGGGTGAAACCAGGCGATACCAAGTCAGCCCCGAGACCTCACCGAAAGTCTCTGGGACTCAGACTGATGACCCTACACCAAAGGCCACCAGCAGGAAAAGGGGGAATAATGGGTCTGGGGATGAGAAGACCCTACAAGAGGCCTGGGGGTGTGGCTAGCATCACTCAGAGACTTTAAAGTTATAGGCGGTGACGTGTTAGTTGATAGAAAACTACAACCCCCAGGAGGCTTTGCGTGCCCTGGGCGGGGTCGGGTCGTCGGCCTCTCTTAGTCGCGTGCCCAATGGTTACCGTGCTCAGCCCCCACCTACCGCCCCTTACTCCACCTTCCAAGCACCTGGCCTCCGGGGACTCCCGCTGGCGGTTCGTTTATTCTCTGCGTTGGTTCAACTAAAGTGACTGAGTAGTTATTTAATTGTGTAAAATTTGTTTCTCAAATGTGATAACATCCAACCTTAAGAGTGGTTTTGAAGAGCGAGAGTGAGTTTAATAAAATGTAAGAATTGGGCCGGGGATTTAGCTCAGTGGTTATGCCACCTGCCTCACAAGCACAGGGTCCCGAGTTTGATCCCCGATACCAAAAAAACAAAACAGAATAGAATGTAAGAATCTATGCTTGCTTAGCATAATTATTCGTTAATTTTTCTTTAAAAAAAAGAATCCCATTAGGGCTGGGGTGTAGCTCGGGGGCACAGAGCTTGCCTGTCCTGCGACAGACACTAGGTTCCGTACCTTACCACAAAACACACAAAAATCCTCTTAGTACCAGTCCGCTTTTGTACTGCGATGATCAAATTACACCAGGTCCCTCACCACGCCTGAGTCTGTGATCACAGTTGGTGATAAGAATTAAGATAGATGCACAGGGCAATGAATGAGCTGGTTGGTGGGGGGACAGCAAGGGAAGCCAGGAAAGTGAACTCTGAGCAGCTTGATAAAATGAGGGAACGGCAAGAACCCCAAAGCCGGCCGGTGGGCAGAAAAGAGCCCGGTGCAGGAGTCAGGAAAGGAGCGCCTGGGAAGGCCAGGGCTCGCCAGGCCTGCAGGAGGGGCCTGGGCTTCAGCCTCACCGGGCTGGGGAATCCCAGAAAGACCTGCAGGGGAACAGGGCTCATACTGACGCTGAGAACAAACCATTCCCAGAATGCACAGCAACCCACGGGGTCTCCAAGCAGCTGGGACCCTGAGAGCCCTGAGAAGACCGACAGATGGCAGGGGAAGGAAATGGGGAGAGGGATGGCACGGGGGCTCAGTATACTCCTTCAGGCTCCTTGGAACTCTTACTGTATGTGGGTGTTGTCTGCCGAAGAGTTAACTTTTTGAAGATTCAACTCTTTTTACAGGTTCCTCCAACTGCTGGAAAAGATGACTGGGTAACAACTGCAAGCAGGTGAGCTGAGAAAAGACTGACAACAATGCACCCCAGAGATCGGACAGCACTGATGGAAGGCGCCTAGCTGCAAAGGATTTGGTGGAGTTGCTTGGTTGCACAGTGGATTTCCAAGCTGGAGCCCAAATGACCTGTGCAGATGGCGGGCAGAGAGAGGAAGGGAGATGCCAAAGTTTTTTGCCTGTGTAGTGGTAGCACCAACTGAATGAAAAGGAGAATTGCCACTTCGGGGGGTGTTTGTTTTGAGACAGGGTCTCGCTCTGTAATTCAGGCTGGCCTTGAACTCACCATGCTCTTCCTGCCTCAGCCTCCCAGAGGGCTAGCATTCCTGGTGTGTGCCATCACACCGACTTGCACTTCTGAGACACTGACCAAACAGATGAGAGGCATCTGGCTATGGAAACTCGTGTGTGGGTAGATGAGACCGCGTGAGATCACGAAGGATGTGTCGTGTGTGGATTGACACTGTATCGCTCCACCCGTCACAGCCAGGAGATGGAAGTGTGGCTGGTGGAGTAGAAAAAGCTCCCCTGGCCAGGTTTGTTTCCCTGCCCAAAAAAGCCTCCTGCCCAGCAGGAACTGGACCCCAGCATTGTGCTCCTGACCCAGACTGTGGTTAAGAATTTTTTTTTTTTTTTTTTTTTTGCTACCAGGGATCAAACTCGGGTCCTTGTACTTTCGAGGCAGGAGGCAGCACCACTGAGCGAAATAAGCCCCACCAACTGTGGTTAGAGAGGGACAAGCACCCCATGGCCCTAAAGTCACCCCCAGGTTCACTTCACTGCAGGCAGCAGGGAGGAGAAAACAGACAGGAGGTCCCTCAGGCTCCCCAGACCCTTGCTTCTTCCTGGCCAAGCCTTCAGCATCTCCTCTTTGGGTGATGCCGCCTAACTCTTGTTGCTTGGTCTCTCCCGCCCACTGATGAACACCCTCAGTGGTTTCCCAGTGCCCTCAGTTGGTTTTGTTTTGGTTTGGTTTTGTTACTGGGGATTGAACTCAGGACCTTGTGCTTGTGAGGCAGGCACCGAAACCACTGAGCTAAATCCCCAGCCCTGGTTTGTTTTTTTTGAGACAGGATCTCACTGTGAGATAACTATGAGGCTCGCATCAACTCATGGTGATCCTCCTACCTCACCTCTGGAGTGTTGGGATTGCAGCTGTGTGCCACCACGCCCGGCTCCCAATGCCCTTAGAATCAGTGAATTCAAAGGCCTCGCTGTGGCCCCAGCTGCCCTTCCAGATGATCTCTTGACCGCTTCTCCCCACTTCCTGCTCTCTGCCTAAAGCCTCCTCTTCCTTCAGACCCAATCTGGGCTTATGTGTGGGATGAATGCCCAGATTTGTACACACGGAGAGAAGTCTGTCAGGACACTCAAGGGAGAGTGAAATGGAAGCTCATGTCAGAAGGCTCAATGAAGTGACCCACGATGCTCATGTGATGGACATCTTAGAACCAGCCTGTATGTCAGTGATGGCAAATCTTTTAGCGCTTTCAATGATTAGATACAGGAGCCCACTGTGGCACCCCTGACATAGGTTTGCCACAACTGCTACACTCAATGGATGGATGGATGAAGGAAATGTGGTACTTAGACACGATAGAATACTACTGTGCCACAAAAAAGGATAAGCTTGGGCCAGAGATTTGGCTCCATGGTTCCACTGCCTGCCTCACAAGCGCAAGGTCCCCCCAAGTTCAATCCCTGGTACCAAAAAAATAAAAAGGGAAAGCTTAAGTCACTTAGGAAAATGGATACTGTTTAAGACTAATGCTAAGTAAATTAGACACGAGCTTGAATATTACATGGCTTCTCATACATGAGAAACCATGCAGAAATAAAACAAAGTGCAAAATAATAGATAACTGGAAACAGGGAGATACATCTTTTGCAAATGGAATCATGTACCACAAACTTGTACTCATAAAACATTTTTGGTCCGGGGATTTAGCTCGGTGGTTCTGCCACCTGCCTTGCAAATACACAGTCCCAAATTCGATCCCCTGTACCAAAAAAAAAAAAAAAAAAAATCTTTGTTTTAAAGGTGAAACGAAAATGCAGGCTGAAATATCAGGAAAGTTCCCTGAAGCCAGGCCTCTCTCCAGTCTGCTAAGGTGAAAGCAGCTCCTGCCTGACTGTAAATGCTGCTGCCAGGCGGGGGACAGGCGGCCTCCGGTGACTCAGCAGCCCCCATCCGCCAGGCCGCAGGGTGCTGAGCGGAAGCTGTGCTCCCAAACAAACCTGTTCATGCCAGGTGCTCTGAATCAAACACGTTAATCCACTGTCAAGCTAATGGACCCTAATTTGGGTCAAGGGCTACAAGCAAGCAGGTTGCCAGTGCTGGGAGGGAGGGATTCCAGGCCAGTGCCAGCAAATCGGCTCTGCAGGACTGAATGGAAAGGCGTCTCACAAACACAGAGGAGGGCCAGCCCTAGTTCGCTTGGTCTTCAGGCTCCCAAACCATTTAAAACTATTAAAAGTGAGGTCACGCGTCTGGTTTGTGGGTATAGTTTACACAAGGAAATCACAAGGTATGCTGACTCGGAGGCCAATACTCAAAGCAAAGGTCTCGGTTCTGGTAGAGTAAGTGTCTGTTTAGGTATGCTTCATTAAACCATTTAGTGTTCAGATTGCCAGGCGTGGTGGTGCACACCTGTGGTCCCAGCACTCTGGAGGCTGAGGCAGGAGGATCACGGTGACTTCAAGGCCAGCCTAGGCCACATAGTGAGACCCTGTCTCAAAAAACCAAAAAGAATGAAAATGTTAAAATAGTCATTTGTGTTATTCACCATCTATTCCTAGCTCCCCAGTTGCCCAATGATCGACCCCACTGTGGTCGAGCAGAACCCGCAATTCATTCTGGCCCATGAGCGTAAAAGAGATTCGTGAATGCAGCCTGGAACATCTAATTGCTGGGGGAGGCCAGCACACTCTGTGCCTTTACTCCGTCGCTTGGCAACGTTCAAGGTCTCCGAGAGACCGCTGCTAACGCTCCACGCAGCGAGAGAAATCCACCCTGGCTGCTCCTAGCCACTGCTACCCAGGGTTGTTAGGCACCAACTCCTCAGCTTTGCGTCTTTCACTTCGTCTTGCTTACCCAGCATGTAACAGTTAACTCCCAGTCTGAGTTTATTAAAAGGATGAACTGTGCCTGTGTTGGGGAGATGTGCTGGCCACGCCTATGATCCCAACATTTTGGGAGGCTGAGGCTGGAGGATCACAAATTCAGTCCAGGCAAATTGATGGCCTAATGAGAATGTGTCTCAAATTTAAAAAAAAAAAATTTTTTTTGGTACTGGGGATCGAACTTAGGACCTTACACGTGGGAAGCAGGCAGCGGAAACACTGAGCTAGATCCCTGGCCCTCAAACAAAAAAATGTTTTAAAGGGATTGGGATAGGGATGTAGCTCAGCATAAAGGCCCTCAACCGAATACCGAGGAAAAAAGAAATCAGGCCTGTCTGGCACAAGATCTACGAGATCTTGTAGATCCACTGCCTTCAACTTTCATCCTAACTTGTGATGTGACCCCTAGTTAGTCTGGGGGGAGCGTCCCAAGGCCCCCCATGTCTAAATGCACAGCTACCTTCCAACAGCCCAGCAGAGTGAGGCAACTAAAAATGTACTGCGGGGTGCACAAGGGACTGAGCCCCTCAGTCGGCGGTTGCCGTGCACCCTACACGTACACCCCACTCAAAGCCAATGTGCTGTCTGCCACCCGGGGTCCCCCATCGTGGGGATGCCAGGAAAAGCACCAGCCCCAGGTGCATAATTCAGGAGCAAACTGATGGAGACCGAAATGTTTCCGAGCACTCACTCATTTCCAGCCTTCCCATGAAGGTGCTATTTGCTGTTGAGATGCATTTTTAAATGCAGTCTGGCCCACTGAGTTCTGCTTCCAAGTGTATGTTCCAGCCAAAGACAACAGCAGGAGCTGCTCCCAGTCAACTGTGTGTCAAGGAGATGGGGAGAGAACCGCCCAAGAGCTCAGGGTTGCTGGGTACGTTAGTTGGGCCAAAGCCCCACAGTTCCAAGGGGACCTTGTGTTCAGTGGGAAGCTTCCCCCCAGGATGTGTTCATCAGTGCCGGCCCATTATCAAGGGCACAGGAGGCCTCAGGCCTGATCACCTGGGCCGTGTGAAGGGCAGACGGGTTCTGCTGTGATCTGTTCTCCTGGCTCTGGGCAAGCGTAGTGAGCCTGGGCCGCAGAAGTCCCTGTGGTTCCTCTAACTGGACGGCAGTCAGGAGGGCCCCACTGGTCAGACAGGAAAACTGGTGACTGGAAACATTTCTCTTTGACCAATTCATTTTGGATTCCGACTCAGGTTTCCTTGTGGGGCTCCCTCTCCCCTCTGGAGGCAGCACGGGCTGCTTCCGGCCCCCCACCTTCTCGGCTTTCAGCAGCTTTGGACAAAGCAATCAATCCCTCCTCCGAGAACCACTCTGCTTTCACCACACCCCACTTGCCTGGTTTTCCTCTCCTGCTGTCTTCCTCCAGCTCCCTGCCCACCCCTCACTCGTGGGTCTTTCTCAGGGCTCTGCCCTTGTTCTGGGGTCTTCTCCTCTTCCAGAGGTCGCAAAATGGCAGCCTGGCAGCCTCATGGGACCCATCAGCAGAGTTTGTTTGGTCCTCACAGTGTTTTGGGTGTTAATTTGAAGGCCATTAGGCAGAGCAAGCACTCTCCAAGTTCGCCACAGTCCCCATCGTGTCCTATTGTTTTACACCTGTCTTTCACACATTTTCATCACCTGCCTGGTCCCCGAAGTCAGCTGAGTTTTCAGAAACCCCTTCACACAGGCTGCCTGGGAGATCTCCCCACCTTCCATCTCCAGCTACCACCAGTGCCCCTACTCCATCTCTCCCACGCCCGACATCGTTGACAACGTGGATCCCCAGCCCCTTGGGGACCCCAGAGGTGTCAGTAATAGTCCAGGGCAGGGACAGAAACTCATTTGCCTCCAGGGGCCAGGCGGGCCACAGAAATGAGTGAACTGGTCAGGTATAAGAAAAGTCCACGGCCAGAAATATAATCAAATTGGATCTTTACTCAACTACGGTGAATGCATGGAACAGAATACAAACATGGAGGATACCGGAGTTTATACTTTAAATCCAAAATTGAAAAAATACAAATTGAAAAATAGAAATATTTAATTATTAAAATTCTTTTCTCTTTCATAATTCTTTTGCTCCTTTGAATTGAGGCGGGCAAGCTGACTCCTCTTCCACACCAAAACATCGGAGTCAGGTCTTGGAGGACAGGCGCAACAGGATGGGCAGGGGGGAGTTCAACCTTGACTCCTTCCATGGGGAGTGAACTTCACTTGATTCAGGTCCCTAATGGAAAACAGCCGGCCGTTCACGCAAGCGTGTGTGCCCAGACACAAACACTCAGGACAATTACCAGATGGACTGGAATCTCGCCATCTTCCCAAAACACTGCCTTTAGGACCAGAGCCCTCTGCCCTGCGGTCCAACTACTACTGTGGTCTGCAGTCACAGAGCAACAGCAAGGCCAACCGACAGTGGCAAACAGTGTTAGTTCATTGTCATACAAAGCGGGTGCGGTGAGTCTGGGATTGGCCTCTGACCCCATCATCTGGTGACTACAGTCCAGGCCACCTCTCTCTTCTGGAAATCAACTGCAGCAAAGGGAAAGGAGTCACATTATGTCTGGCCAGTGCATTCCCATCTGCCAGCCCGGGCCACTGGGGCTGTCCCTGAGGAGCTGTGTTCAGTGTTCAGAAGCCTCTGGCCACCTCCTCAGGGAACCGGCTTTCACTTCAAGCCACGATCACCATGCCCACAGCTAACTCACAGGAGCGAAACATCGCAGGCATTCGTGGTGCCCCTTTGGCTTCTCAAAGCCGCTCGATGGAGGTGACAGGTCAAGACGTGACTCCTCCATCCTTGCCAAGCACTGCCACTTTGGATGGAGGTGCGTGGACAAATCCTGCGACAGTTACTCCAACTGTCTGTAATTGTGCTTAGCGGTCTGACCAGGGTGTGTGTGTGTGTGTGTGTGTGTGTGTGTGTGTGACTTATTTCTCTCAATACAGTCATTCATTTCCCAGTGTTGGGCCTGCCTTGGTACCACGTCACAGACTTCTTCGGTCACATCAAAATTCTCAACACCACAAATAAATAAAGCTAACCGGGTGTAAGTTTATGAGCAGCGACAGAAAAGGCCACAACTGATTCGACTTTCAGGCAACTGGACTTGTGAAGCCTCTAGTTTATGATCACCCCGTGATGCAAATGCCCGCAGACTCGTGTCTGGACGGCACGTGTCTCTGTTCACAACACACCACTGCTCTTGGATGAGCTCACAGTTTTAATGCCCAGTCGTTTTTCCACGTCTCTTCCTCTCTGCACAGCGAGCCTACTGACACTTGAGGCCCTTTTTCAGTTCGCTGAGGATGGCGTCCCGGGTCTGTTCTGTGTACTGGTCGTAGCTCTTGCTGTGCCTGGACTCATAGTGGCGCTTCAGGTTGTACTCTTTCAACACAGACACGATTTTTTTGCATATTAGACACGTAGGCATGCTCTTCACTTCCACAAAGAAATAGTCTCGCTCCCATTTTTCTCGAAACACACGGCCCTCTCCTTCTTTCTTTCGTTTTGCCGCTTTTGGTAGAGACATGGGTACAAGAAAGATTTCACTTGTCTCTGAACGCTACCAAGGAGCAACCACAGTGCCAGCCCCATGCCAAGGCGGTGGGGAAGTGGGAGGGGTGGTGGGAACTGTGGCGAATGGAGAGCACACACCCCGCCAGAAGGGCAGCTCCGGCCCTCGGAGCCGAGCATAGGGCAGGCCCGGGGGCCGGACCTTCCAACGGATCCAGAGGAGCCAAGACTGCAGAGTGCACGTCTCTGTGTGCGTGAATTAACCCGGTTGACACAACTACCTCATGAGGAAAGAGGACCACATATGCTAACACAGAGAAGGCCAAACAAAGCTCACCTGCAGAGTGGCCCATGGGCCACCAAATTGCAACCTCTCTCCTGGGCCGGGCCCATGGCCCTGAATCCCAAGCCTGGAGGGCGGTGGTCCAGGCGCGGACCACGCTGAGCAACACTCACCTCCAGTCCCATGACAGACACCTTGCCCTGCACATGGGGGCACTGCCTGCTACCTGCCGTCCCCGGACGTCTCGGAGGACGTCCTGCAGGGCCCTCATCTCACTGTGTCTCGGCCATATTTGCTGCCAGGTCTTCCCTCAGGGACAGCTGAACTGTCCACCTTGTCCACAGCCCCAGAAGGGCCATCTCCAACAAGGGCCCAGAGCCTGTGCTCTTCCTGGGCACCTCATCCAGCCCTGGGGCTCTAACCAAGCACGCTATCCCTAAGGTCACGTCCTGAGCTCCAACATGGCACCAGCACCTGGACGTCCCTTGGGCCGCCGGCACTCGCCATCTACCTTCACCCACACTGGCCCCCATGGCCCTGGACCCCCAGGACAAGCTTCGAGCTACCAACCAGGGAAGTGGCACCTGCCCAGCCCTCCAGCTGTCGGGCTCTGCCCCTGCCCTCTCCTCAGGTGCCAAGTCCCTGTCTGCTCCTGGGGACCTGTCCCTCGACCCCGCTAACTGCTGCTTCTCTCTCCAGACTCCACAGAGTCTGGCTGGATCTGAAGCCCTTCCTGGGCTCCCCCAGTTCCTCTGCAGTCTCCACGAGAGCACCGGTCCTGCACGCTAGCTGCCTGACACCCGCCTCCTGACGAGTCTCCCTGAGAACCAGCTGCAACACACGGCCTGACACCACGAGGCCCAGCGCCACCCAGCCTGGGGCCTCAGGGAAGTCTGCAGAAGCAAGAACAAGGACAGAGATGACCGGGTGTGCTCCTGCCCAGTCCTGGGGGATGTCAGTGATGGGAGCCGGGGCGTGTGTTAAAAGGAACTTTATTGGGTGCTGGGGATTCAGATGAGATCCATGAGGATGTCGTCCTCCATGACGCTGGGCTGCAGGCCCGGCTGGGGGACCGGGCCCCGGGGACCCCCGCTCAGCAGCATCTGACCTGGGGAGCAGTGGGGAAGGACTGCATCTCCCAGTAGTCCCTGGGGCCGTGGAGGACCCTGGGCCTGCTTTCTCTCTCCACTGGGAGCCCACGGCACTCCATTTCCTAGGAAGCCTTGGGGTCCCCTCAGAGGTGCCTGCTGACCCCAGCGGTTACCAAGTTTCCCCAGAGGCTTTGGGAGCCCTTCCCCACACTACTTCTCTGGCCCAGACTACGTTTTCCAGCACCCCCAAGACATGGAGAAGATCGTGGGAAGTTATTGCCCTCTAGATCTTTGATCCTGTGGGAGGCACTTCCCAGTAGCCCAGGGAGCCCCCCGATGGCCACAGGGAGAACCCTTGGCCTTGGCAGTCTTGTCCAGGGGCTGCTGGGCTGCTCGGTCCAGCCACCTGCCCACCCCTGGAGCTCCCTTACCTGGCATCGGAGCCCGTGGGGGAAGCTGAGCGGGCCAGGACTGGGCGGGTGGCGGGTGCAGGAGTGGGGGCCCCAACTGGGGCTGCCCCAAGCTCTGGTGCGGTGGGGGCAGAAGCGCAGGAGCCCCTGGTGGCTGGAGGTGGTGGAGGGAGGCCTGGGGCGGGGGCACCCCACTCTGGGGCTGGGGGAACACAGAGCAAGGCTCAGAGGCCATGGTGAAGCCCTGCCACACCCACCATCCTGCCACTGCCTAAGGGTTCCTGAAAGTCTCAGCCTGAGGTTTGGGGGTCTTTCTTCCAAGACCTTAGCAGAAGCCCCCATAACCTAAAGGTGGGATTGCTGGAAGCCCTTGTGGGGAGTCCATCACACCCACTGACCAAAGATCACCTCTCTCCCCCAAACAAAAGGATCAGAATCGCTGGGGTCAGGACCAGCTGCCCTACCCCCAAATCTCACCGGTGGCGGGTTGAGAAGCAGGCTCCGAAGCTGGGGGTTGGCCCCAGGGTTCTGGGGCCGAAGGATGGGTCCAGGAGGAGGTGGGCCAGGGGCAGCTCCAGGAGGGCCTTGGGGGGCACCAGGGGGGGCCTGGGTGGTACCTGGGGGCTGGGGCTGTCCAGTGGCCCCAGATGCCCCCACGGTACCCTGAGGCTGGGGCTGTGGTGGGCGGAGCTGAAGCTGCTGGGAAGAGAGATGAGGACGAGGGAGAAGTCAGAGAACCCATAGCCCTCCACCTCACAGAACAGGGCACTGACAGACATCCTCCGGGGCTGTCCCACCCTGTCCCGACCCAGCACTCTGTCCTCACCAGATTCTGCGAAGGCCTCGCTTGGTCCTCCAGAATAGGGCCCAGGCCTGGGGGTGCCTGCTGCCCACCCATCTGCATAGGGAGAGAGGGGCAGGTCAGGCATGGGAAGGGAGGACGTGCTCAGCTTGGGCAGGTGCTGGTAGGGACGGGCTCACCCCGCGTTGCTGCTCCAGCTTCTGTTGCTGGACTTGCTTGTGGTTGGTGATGACCTGCCGGATGCCGTTGACGAAGCCGCTCTGGTCATAGGGGATGAGGCCCATGAAGATCTTCTTCTTGGACGAGTAGAGGAGCATGAGCACACGCACCTCGCACGGGGCCGTGTGGGGGAAGTGCACGCAGCCAGCCTGCAGATGGACAGACAGACAGGGCGCCTGAGGTCCAACCAAGAAGGCTCCAGAAGCCCCACACAGGGATGGCAGGGTTTCCACTGTAGGAAGATGAAAGCAGGGTTGCTTTGGGGCTGCCCCAGAGACAGAAGGTGCGGCTCAGGGGTGAGTCAAGGTCCCAGAGGGCAGGGCAAGACTAGCTTGTGCCAACAGCTGAAAGACAGGGAAGAAAGCAAGGGCCCACCCAGGGGCAGTGTACAATTCTGACTGGGACCACCATCCCCCGGGTCTTGTTTCCTTGGCTACCACACACCAAGGCTGCACTTGAAAGGCCATCGGGAGGGATGCAGCCTTGAGGGAGGGGCCCAAAGGCATGTGATAAGCAGTAGTGACAGGCCTGAGCACCCAGTTATGGCCACACCCTCACAACCCTCCACCAGGTGCCTGGTTCCCCGCAGTGGGAACTGAGAAAGCAGCACCAACATCACGCAGTTGCTGTGACCCAAGGACGTGCGATACCCAACGGCCCTGCCCGAGGCGCCACCCTCAGGAAGCGTGACAGTCACTGTGGTCATCTGAAGGCAGCTGCACATAACGCTTCACAGCGGGATGGGGAGTGGACCTCATGGCCTCTCTTCTCTGAGCCTCGGTTTCCCATCTGAGGCAGAGCTGCTAGCTGGCCTACCCGGCACTGACTGCCAGTTCCCCCGAGAGGAGCCAGGTTATGCAGGCTGTGATGCCCAGGCACCAGGGTGCAAATCACCGCAGCCCAGCCAGCCAGGCCCAGGAAGATTCTGTTTCCCAAGGAATGGCAGGTTCATGGCAACGCCTCTTTCCTCACCCAACTTCGGCACTGTGCACACAATGGCTCCGGCTACGAGAACCGCCCTGTCGGAACCCAGCTGCTAAGTCCAGGAAATGAAAAGCTGTGGCACTGGGCCATGCACACTGTGGACTGAGTCCCAGCAGGGCCCCAGCTGAGCCAGGCCCATCCAGCCATACTTCCCGATGACAACAGTCACGGCCGCTGTGTGAGAGCCGCCCCATCAGTCCCCAAGCAGGACCGGGATTGTATAAGATAACCAGCGTTTACAGCCCAGCACAACAGTCTCTGTGGCAAGGGCAGCGTGTGAGAGACTCCTCGAGGTGGTCCCTGGGACGTGGACAAAGACCACACAGAGCACCATGTGACGACTCTGACACTGGGAAGACAGCCTGCGGGGCTGCAGCAGGCATGGGGAGGACAGGCAGTGCGAGTCTCCCTCATGCTGCCCACACGCTCACCTCGACCCCCCCACCCGCATCTCAGGAGTAAGCCCCCACTTGGGAGCAGCATGCTCAGGCAGCCCCAGGAATCCACCCCCCAGTGTCCCTATCAGAATCGATGGCCTCCTCCTAACCGCTCCACACACTCTGTGACACGCCTCAGCTTCACACTATTACAGGATAAAAGCAAAGGTCTGGGAGAAAAGTGAGGAGCCCAGGCTCCAGAAGCCCACCAAGCGTCAAAGCAGCTCCAGGCTCGTGCAGAGTAGGGGCAAAGGCCCTGGGTTCCATCCCTCGCCAGGGGCTCTGGTCAGAGTCGGCAGGACAGAGGCAGCCCCTGCCCACCCAGCACTCACAAAGCCATTGCCCATGATGCGGTAGAGGCCTTTGAGGGACTCCAGGTCCTTGTTGGTGAAGTGGAACTGCACCATCCTCGAGTTCCGGAAGAGAGGGCCCAAGGTGGTCTGTGGAGACACCGTGGACACCATGTGGGGAGGGAGGAGGGGACAGAGTCAGGGAGCTCAGGGAGGTTGGATGGGGCCCCTCAGGCTACGCACCAGCAGCTGCTGCGGGATGAGCTGCATGATCAGCTTCTGTGGCCACTGCTCTGTCTTCCTGGGGAACAACATGAGGACAAGGGTCAAGAGGGAGTGGACCCCAGCCCTCCCCGCCCCCAAAGGCCACCTACAGGTTCTCTCCATGATTCACATAGACCTGGCAGGGCAGGGAGCGGGTCAGCTTGGTGTTGGCATCCACTGAGGCGGGCTTTGGTTTCTGAGGGGGAAGAAGGTGAGTCACAGAGAGGGGCCCCAGCCTAGGCCTTGCCTGCTCCTGCCTCACCCTGGTGGCCCCCAGGCTCAAGATGCCCCCTCTTCACGAACCCCAACCTCTCTGGCCTCCGGGTTACAAAACCAGGGGCTCCTCCTCTGGCCCTGAATCCCTTAACCCACTATCCTCCAGGGGCCACAACCACGGTCTTCCTGGGTTCTTTACCTCAACACAACTTACTTTGCACTGAGCTACATCCCCGGCTCTTTTAATCTTTTTGAGATAGGGTCTCAGCTGAGTCCCTGAATTGCCCAGGTTGGGCTCCTCCTCCCTCGGCCGCCCGAGCGTTGGGATTACAGGAGTGACCACTAAGCCCAGTGGTCACCACATTTAACCCCACCTTGGTCCTGAGCCACAGATCCACGGTTCTGAGGCCCTCAGCTTCACTTGCCCAAGGGAGCTGTGACCCACTCACCTCCTGCCACTCGAGCACCCCGCTCCAGGCCAGGAGCTTATTGGAGACTGACTGCTGCCCACCGAGGGCTGGCGCCCCGAGCTGGGCCGGGGAAGGACCACTGACACCACCTGGGGCCACTGTGCCCGCCTGCCGAGAAGGAAGAGGAGTGGGAGGGGCCGACTCCACACAAGCCCAGCACCGCTCAGCAGAGGTAGGGAGCGTCAGTGCCCGAGCACTATAGGACACGAGGCCTCCCAGGCTCCCTGGGTTCCTGAGATTCTGCCCCGGCCCTCTCACCTCACGTGCACTGTGAGCCTGAGGCCCCAGACCGCCAATGCTGCCCCGAGCCCGGAGGTCAAATGGCACTACCCACTCTCCTCGCTGGTACCTACCATGGATGGTGCCCCGGGCTGTGCGGTGGGGGCCAGGCCCGGGCCAGGCGCCACCGTGGAGACCATGTTGGGCTGGGAGGCAGGAGGTGCCTTGGTGGCACCAGGAGGCCCTGGGGGTAATGTTGGGGCCGTGGCCTGACTGAAGGGGGGTCCCACTCCTGAAACAGCCTGCTGGAGAGGGTTGATGGGCGAGACTGTGGGAGAATGGAGGAACAAGTAGGGAGCCATGCACAGCAAGTCCTTCACCCTCCCCGAACCTACCACCCTACCGTTTTACCCTGGGACTCACAGCGGGGGCCGAGTCCAGCCTTCTGGTTCTTGGCAGCCTCCACCGCATTCTGGGCGGCCACTTGCGCTGCACTCAGGTTCCCGGGAACCTGGAAAAGGAAGGAAGGGCTGGTGTGCACGGGGCCCCCGGGCACGGCCCCCGCACTGCACCCACAGACTGCACCTCAACACCCACAGTCCCACCTTTCTGATGTCCCGTGGGGACTCCTTCACCCCACACGTCCCAGTGCTCACTGAACTCTGTCACGAGGAGACGCCTCCTACAAGGCCCAGGCCTGAGTCCCTCCCTGATGACATCCATACCTGGTACTGTGGCGGCACAGGGGGCAGGGACTGCTGAGGTGCAGCCGAGAGCGTAGCACCCGAGGGTGGTGCGGGTGGTAGAGGCACCTGCTGCTTGGGCTGGAGGGGGCCTGGGGCCGAGCCACCCCCAACTAAGACCAGGACAATGGCCAGGCGCCCACAAGAAGAGGCAGAGGAGGGAAGAAAATCCAGAATTTAGGTCAGAGAGAGCAGGGAAGACACCTGAACCCTGCCCTGTCCCACCACACTGTGCCCGGGCCTTACCGGGCAGCACCAGCCCGCGCACCAACACCATGTGCCTCGGGTCCTGGCTCACATCTGCTGGCGGCTGCAGTGTCTCTAGCATCGCTGGAGGGGCGGCCTTCTCGAATAGAAGCCGCAGGGCAGGAAGCTTCCGAGGGGACACGATGGAGAAGTGAATCCCACGCTGCAGGAGAGGGCAAGTGTCAGCACAGCACCCCTCCGCAGGACACTGCAGTGGGTTCCCAAGCAGCCACCGCAATGGTGAGAATGGGGACTCGATGCCCAGGGGATTTGGGCAATGGTTGTTTTGACAGACATAAGAGCCACACGTACAATCCACGATTACTCAGGGGTCCAAGTCCCAGCCCTCCTCGCTAGATCCAGCAATTCAGAATCAGCAGTCTAGGCCCCAGTGCTCTCCTTTTAGACTCAGGGGTCCAGACCCTAACTCCCTCTTAACCTACACAGACCCAGGAGTTTAGGCTCTGACCCTCTTCCTTCAGACCCGGAGATCCAAGCCCAGCCTCCTCCCTCAGACCCGGGGTCCAGGCCCAGCCTCCTCTCTCAGGCCAGGAGTCTTTACCTCCCCTATCTCCTGCACAAGGCTCTCAGTTGTGTACCCCGAGTACGTGGTGCTCTCGACAGCAGGCAACAGGTACGGCGGTGAGTTGCAGATGAGGAGGCAGACTCGATGTGTCTGGCCACTGCAGGGCAAAAGAAAAGACATGGAATGGGCACCAGCAGGGCCTGAGAAGGGATCCAGCCCTAGCAGAGCTGAGATTTACCCCTGCACCCCATAAAGTCAGGACCAATGCCCCAATTTACAACTGACAACACCAAGGGCCTGGAGGACTTGCTGTTGGTCACACAGCAGGCAGGGGACATGTGAAGTGGCACCATGCGGCAGGCTACACTCACATCTGCTCACGCATCTTCTTAAAGTCATCGAAGAGCTGCAGTGCTGTGCTGAGGCCTTCTGCAATGAGGCTGCAGCTCTCACCGCCGCCGCCCATGAACCTGCCAGAGGCCAGGCAGTCAGCCCCATAGTCATCACCTGGCCCAGCCACCACCAAGAGCCTGCTTCCATCCTGCCCCCCACCAGCCCTGGGACACTGGTGAGTTCCCTGATCTATCCTGAGAGTGAGGACGGGAGACCCCAAGCCTAGGCCCTGCGCTCTGTCCCGGTCCTGGTGTGACTGCCGCCTGTGCACTCTCCTGTTGTCCCTTCCTCTCTGGGCTGTCCGCTCCATCTTTAAAGCTGCCAAGGACCTCACCAGCCAAGGGCAGAGCCTCCTCTGCCCACCCACCATGCTGTAGCTTGAAACGTGTGCTCCCTAAGGACAGGCTAAGGCCCTAATCTTCAGTACCTCAAAGGGTGACCTTACTGGAAACAATCTCTCCAAGATCACAGCGGTAAGTAAGCTGAGGGTACGAGGGTCCCCGAGCCAGTGAGACTGGTGTCTATGAAGGAGGAAAGTGGACAGAGAGGGGCACACGTGGAAGAGGATGGTGGCCCTGTGAAGACTGGTGACACTGCTGTTAAGGCAGGGCATGGCCGGGGCCACCAGCAGATGACCGAGACAAGGAATGACCTTTCCCCTCCAGGCTGCAGAGGGATCCTGGCCTTGCTGGCACCCTGACCTTGGACCTCCGGCCTCAAAGCTGTGCGTCAGGAGAGCTCTGTTTCTCTAACGCAGTCCCCATGTTTTGCTGCACCAGTGTAGGAATCTCCCAATCAATCAATCAATCAATCATTCCTTCTTGCCCTGCATCTGATCTGCAGGCAAGTCCTAAGGTTGCCCAGGAAATGGCCCAGGAAAGGCCTGTACTCCAGCACCTACTGCCACCACCCTTGAAACTGACTTTGCCAGAGGGGATGTGTGTGGAGATGGGAGGCCCCGGCCCCCTGAACTGTGGTTCAGCATCTGTGTCTGCCCCCGTGTTCCCAAGAGCAGGAGTGAGGTTGGAGACTTTTCTTGTTCCCAGCCCTGACCACTACAATCACCATATGGGAGGCCACAGGAAAACATGCACTAAATAAACAAGAAACAAGGGCCGGGGATTTAGCTCGGTGGTGCCACCACCGGCCCCGCAAGAGCAAGATCCAGAGTTTGACCCCAGGTACCAAAAGCAAAAACAAAAACAAAAACAAAAAAAGAAACAAAGCCAACCACACCCAGGGCTTTCAACAAGCACAAGTGAAGCTGGCCACAAACCCATGACCAGCAGGATCTGGGCCCTGTGAAGGTGGAGTAAACCCACAGCCTCAGCCCACACCCGTGTCCTGCATGCCCTGTAACGTATCTGACCTCTAGGTCTCTGTAGTCATATCCCCCGGACCACAGCCCCACTCTGGCTTAGAAATCCAACCTTGGCAGGGGGGGGATAAAATTTATAAAAAAAAAAAAAAAAAAAGAGAGAGAAAGAAACCCAAATGATCTGTCCTGCGTCACCAGCCCAGTGTGGCGTTACCCTCTCCAGGAAGCTCGCTTGAACTGCCACAGGTCATCTGATGCCATGGCTACCCACTTCCCACCCCCGCCTGGCCCGTACAGCCCTCAGAGAGGGAGTCTGAGTCACCTGAGCCGTCTTTACAATGTACCCTCGGTCACTGCCTGCCACACACTGATAGCACCGAGGTGGAAAGCGCTGAGACGGCCAGGCCCTGTCTCCCTGCCCATGTCCCTTCTGGTGCCATTCAGCACTGCAGCTTAGGGCCCCAGAATCCTACTGCCCCTCAGGGCACTGGCACCCAGCCCTCTTTCTCAATGCAAGACTATTCTGAACAGGTACTTTAAAGACACAGCAATAGGTAGACTCCATTGAATAAATCTACCCTATACCCAGCTTGCTGTCCAGCTTCCTGCTAAAAGAGAAATCAAACCCTAACTGTCTCAGGCCTTTATGAGATTCAAGCCAAGTCCTTCCCCTGGAGCTGAGGTGATGAGAAGCACTTTTTTTCCTCTGCCCCCCTTTTCTGGTTGTTTTTCATTTGTTTGTTTTGAGACCCAGTCTTGCTACGTAGTTCAAGCTGGTCTTGAATTCAGGTGATACTCCTGCCTCAGCCTCCTGAGTGCTAGAATTACAGGTGTGCACCACTATGCTCAGTGTGATGATGAAAATGTTTTAGAATTAAACAGAGGTGGTAGCTACACAACACTGCAAACATATAAAGGCTATCAAATTATATACTTTAAAATAATTATCTTTCCCAGGCAGGGTGGCGCACATCTATAATCCCAGGACTTGGGAGGCTGAGGCAGGAGGATCACTGAATATTTGAGGCCAGACTGGGCTACATAGTAAATTCAAGGCCAGCCTTCACTACATAGTTAAGACTGTTTTAAGGGGGTGGGGGGTTGCATAGTGTTGCATGCCTATAATCCCAGCTGTTCAGGAGGCTGAAGCAGGAAGATCACAAGTTCAGGGCCAGTCCGCAAAGTTTAGCAAGACCATCTCAACATTTTAAAAATCGGGGCCACTGAGCTAAACCCCTGCCCTGAAGCTTTCTTTTTTCTTATTGAACTCAATGGTAAGTTAGACTACCAGCTGCATGAAAGACATGTAACAAATACGGTCAAACAAATGAGAAAAATCTGAAAATGGGGAGCAGAACTAAAATATGATCCAAAATATAGCTTAAATATCACTGATTATGATAGGGAAACTTTTATAAATATCAAAAACCTATAAAGTATTACAATAAAAAATGGCTTCTGCTGGGTCTAACAGCAGTGTGCTTTGTTGAGTTCAGAATTAACAGACACCGGAGGCGTAACTACTAAATGACGCATCCGGTCTCATCCTGAGATAACAGAGTACATCAATACCCTGAGCTCCGAAGTTCTGTAAACCACATGATTGTAAAAGTGTCAAGATCAAAAGCACCATTGTTAACATTTGCTTTCCTGACCCTGAACACCTGCTTCTTTGGGCTAGGCTAGCTAGGTGAATCTTCAAGGTAAACTCCCTGAACCACAAAGAATTGCTACATCTGGGTTGAAAGTTAACTGTCTTGTGTCCATGATTTGTTTGGTAATGTGAACTGAGAGAATAAAATGTAACCACAAGAATGAGATCAAGGTTGTAAACCCTATAAAAAGAGGAGTTGTAACCCAGGGCGTTGTTGACCCAGGCATGGTTTATGTGCGATCACCCTTATCAACAAGTAAATTTGTTATTTTACTTCCATTCTGCACCTCTCTGTGTGTCACTTACTGCTTCCTTCTATAACAATCTCCCCCCCTTGTTTATTTATTTTGCACTTTTGGGGATCAGACCAAGGCCTTCAGTATGCTCAGCAAACACACCATCAACATATGCCCCAACCCCATTCTTATTTATGTTTGAGTTTACTTGGGACTAAGATTCATCGTAAGAGCTAAGGATATATAGCTCAGCGGTAGAGCACTTGCCTAACCTGAGGCCCTGGGTTCAATCTCCTGCAGGGTAAAAAAATAAATAAAATAAAGCTCCCTGAGGGGCCGGGGATTTAGCTCAGTGGTGCCACTGCCTGCCTCGAAAGCACAAGGTCCGAGTTCAATCCCCAGTATCCCCCCACCAATAAAATTCTGAAAATGAAGCACCCTGGGTAATGGAGGCAATGAGTCTCAGTACTTGGCTCACCCTGGAACCTGTCCCCATTTATCCTACCCATTGTCACCTTCTGGAGGCGCAGTGTCAGAACAGGCCAGGACCTAACAGCAGCCAGTCCTACCCAAGAGCTTCCTGCAAGCCAGCCAGCGCAGCACCCACCCAAACACAGAACCACAGAGAGGCATACCTTGCTTGTCTCCTACCTACTGACAACTCTGGTGTCATTCACACACAAATATGTTGAATGAATAAACAAACAACAAACTGGCTGCCATAAAGCTACAGGGGGAGACCCTCTGGTCTATTTTCTGTCCACCTCTATTCTTTCAGATCCTAAGTTGCTAGCTGCTAAGAAAGGAAATGCAGAAGAAAATCTTCCCAAAGCTGAAAGCAAGGACACATCAACAAAAAGAAAGCATGCCTCCTCCTTAAATTTGAAACCTCTCAGGAGAAGACAAGGTTTCTTCTGGTGTGAAAAAGGGCTGCTTACCTGTAGTCCCGCTGCACACTCTGGAATGTCAGACACTTGACACAAGCCCGGATCAAAACAGTGACCTTGGGCAACAGCACACAATGGCTGACAACATTTATCAGCTGATCTGGAAGACTCCACACTGAGAACACAGCTAGCTTTTATGTGGTTCCAGGTACAGAACACTGAGTTAAGAGGTGGGCTGGACACAGGATTCAGGTGCCTGGATAGCAGCTCCCTCTTCCCCACGGTGGTCAGAATTTCCCTTTTTTTTTTTCTTTGTCACACTGGGGATTGAACCCAGGGACACTCTACCACTGAGATACACTCCAAACTCTTTTTATTTTTTATTTTGGGACAGGGTCTTACTAAGTCACTAAATTAAGGAAGTTCAAACTCTCAATTCTCCTGCCTCAGCCTCCCAGAATGCTAGGATTTAGGTGTATACCACACTGAACTGCAGCAGAATTTTCTTTTATTTATTTTTTGAGACAGCTGGTCTCAAACTCGAAGCAATCCTCCTGCCTCAGCTTCCAGAGTCCTGGGATTACAGGGGTGAGTCACAACGCTGGAAGAATTTTCTAAGAGTTTAACTGCATTTCCTAACATTCAACACTCACTGGAGGTTTGGCTTCTTGATAATTATATTTCTTGTAGTTTCCACTCATTCATTTACCCAGGCAAGGTCTCGTAAGGCCTGTTGGTTCCCAAGTCCCAGTCAGAAGCAAACAGCAGGAGAAATACTCAGGACCTGGACAGATGCAGTCTAGAGGTGTGCGGCTTTGAGAGGGAACACAGCAGTGGAGGAGGGAAAAAGTGGCTGCTTACAGAAGAAATACAGGACCATTTCTCAGATGGAAGACGTGAGTTAGGACCATGAAAGTAGCGCAGGAGTTTAGCTAAGTAACCACTATGAAAGGCATTTTGGGCACTCATTCACTTACCTAAC